ATGCAATTTTGCGTCCAAACTATCCCTTGTTGACTTCAACAATTGTTTTCAGCATCTAAAAGATGTAGACACATCAACGGAAGACTATGAAGAATCCTCACAAGCCAAAAAACTAAAGAAAAAATCGACAGCTACCTCTATATTAAAGAGCTTCTATTACGATTGGTATATGCCACTAAATAAAGAAAATGATTTGGAGAACACAAATCATAAGAGGAACAGTGATGATAACAGTACCGCAGAAGAAACTCATACTAGTAGCAGTGATGAAAAGAGTGACAACTATTCATTACTAAATGACAAGGAGAACCCTATAAAGGTCACATCGGGAACAAGTACTTTTGTGCTCAAATTAGGTGGATATAGTGCAATAGAGTGGTTTATTATGACTATGGAGATGCTGCTCATTGTGAGTTCATGTTAATCAATTAGGTATATCAGTAGCAGCAATTGATAATCAGTAATTGTTTCAGATCTCATTGGTCATTACATTTCAGATCGTCGTCACTTTTTTCACCTACGCAGTGGTGTGTACGACCCTCTATGGATTTCTGGAGATTTTAGCCGAACTACAACCGTATAAAGTCACCGGCAGTCACTTAAGCAAGAAACTGACGCCTCGTCACAGACTTGTCCATCATGAGATTATGACCTCAGCTAGTTTAATGTCACAATTGAAATGAAATGTTATTAATGTATCTAGTTTAGCTAATTGTATTTAATGTTTATTTGTTTCTTTTTTTCATTTTATTAAAAAAAATATACAATAGTGGTCTTTTTTGATTGATTCGATAAATAGTAATCGGATATTTCGACGCTGTCAATAATGTTCTCTAGAGGTAATTTCTTATTACTTCGCCATTAAAACATAGTGCTCAACAATTCTGATTGGGGGTTAATGTTTAATTTAATAGTATCTGCATCCGGATATGTTAGACGCCAAAAACATATGTTTTTCTAATATAACGAACCCGTCAGTGAACTAGTTCATTTGTTCGATTTAGTAAGTCGTTCGATCGAACATTTTCCGAACAATTTGATACAACAAGCACAATTTTTAATTCAAATTAATTTAATTTTTTATTTGGATACCAAAACCATGTGGTCGTCGGACGAGCTCTTATTCCGCAATTTTACAGAGCTTAAAAACCTTAAATTCGATGACGAGAAGGTATCCACAACAACATCCAGGGAGCAGGTGAGTAATCCACGTTCGGGCTGATGGCTTATGAACAGGCGACAAAAACGATTTTCGTTTCGTGTTTAGCAAAAAACTGAAGATTCGGTTGAGAAATGCTATGACCGTTTCGAGCAGACACAATTCCTCAATCCTCGTGTGACGCAGCTAAACCGCATACAGCACCAACAGTATTTGGATCTGATGCTGCGCAATCTGCCGTCGAACTACGAGTGCTTGGACAGCAGTCGTCCCTGGTGCATCTACTGGATACTGCAGTCGGCGCAACTGCTGAGCTTCACCTTCGATGAGCAGACCCTCGACAGTGTTGTGCAGTTTCTCATTAAGTGAGTTAATTGTATGCCGGCTGTGGCTAGACATAAATTGCTTCCACTTGAATGCTTGCAGATGCCGCGCACCAACGGGCGGATTTGGCGGCGGACCTGGTCAATATGCGCACCTGGCGCCCACCTATGCTGCCGTCAACAGCTTGTGCATCATAGGCACCCAGAGCGCGTATCGCGCCATCGATCGGGACTCGCTTACACAATTTCTGTTCAGCGTGCGCGATGCGGATGGCTCCTATCGCCTGCACGTAGATGGTGAGACGGACGTGCGAGGCGCATACTGTGCCATTTCCTGCGCTAAGCTCACCAACGTCCCTGAGCCAGTACTGAAAGAATTGTTTGCGGGCACCGCTGACTGGATTGCCAGCTGTCAGACGTATGAGGGTGGATTTGGTGGCGCGCCTGATTTGGAAGCGCATGGTGGCTATACGTTTTGTGGCATTGCCAGTCTCGCGTTGCTCAACCAGGCAGATAAGTGTGACAAGAAAGCGCTGCTGCAATGGACGCTGCGACGTCAGATGAGCTATGAGGGTGGCTTTCAGGGACGCACCAATAAACTAGTAGATGGTTGCTACTCGTTTTGGGTAGGCGCTACCATTCCAATAACGCAGGCTACGTTGGTTGGCTCGGACAAGAGCATGGATCAGACACTTTTTGATGTTGAAGCTCTACAGGAATACATTTTGCTTTGTTGCCAAAAGGCGAATGGAGGTCTGATCGACAAGCCCGGCAAGTATGTGAAGGACCCAACTCTGAACCTGTCATCTATATTTGATTACCCCTTTTTCTTTTACCTTAAGGCCACAAGATCTATATCACACCTGCTACACGCTCAGCGGCGTTTCAATTGCACAGCACTCCGAATCCGCTATGCATCCACAAGTGCTAGGCGACATTATTAACGAACTACTACCAACCCATCCACTGTTTAACATACCACCGAAATCAGTCGCAGCAGCTTTAAGCTATTTTTCAAACAATTCCAATAAGGATGGCAACGATAGTACCTGGCGAACGGAGAATTAGGATATTTGCAGAACCGAATGATGTACATAAACGTTGAAACTTAGTTGGCAAACAAAAATATTTAAAATTTCTACACACTACGAACTAAATTTTTCTAAATGAAAATCAATAACTAAATGTGTTTTAATTATTTACAGCTTAATTAATAACTGTTTAAAACGGTTTCTAAAATATCCTCAATATATACTCTTCACTGTTAAACGTGAAGCAGATGTTATGTTATATTAAATACTCGAGTTGAATTGTTACGTTTACAAGCGAATGGCAACTCATTTTTGTATTTTAAACTTACCTGTTGCATTAAGTCATAGTTGTTATTCTAGATGTTTTCTAGTCATCGTCGTTTAAAACGCAAGACTCCCGCGGAGGGCATAGATAGACGCGAATATATTGGCCACCTTGTGGACGAATATTACACCTCAACAAACGTCGGTAAGCACTTGACTCGCTAGCGTCGGCATTACAGATACACATAACAGTATCGATAAATCCCTACCAGAGGCCCAGGAGCAGGTAACCGCTAACTTGGCGAACTTTGCCTACGATCCGATTAACTGGCCCCATTTGCATGAAGCCGAAGCGTTGGATGTATTTGTGGCAGCTTTGGACACGCAGAACCCAAATCTTCAGCTGCATGCGGTAGCGGCATTGTGTAATTTTTGCTTGGGTAACGTTCCTATATCAATTTGTTAGGTATTCAATAATTTCTTTCAATTTACAGACAAAAGCGCCGCCAAATTTATAATTGCAAGTATAGCTATAATTAGAAGCTTGTTCCTGCGCACAGAGCACGCTGATATTGTGCTGCACGGCCTGACACTACATTATCAACTGCTGAGCGCGGGATTGGGTACCAAGGGTCAGCTCATAACGCCAGCATTGCTGAAGCGCGTGCAGTACTGGCGCCAGGCATCCAACGACGAACGTGTTATCAAGCTTTGTGTAGTTTTTCTGGAAGATTTTGGCAGCCGCGCCGAAGTAACCGAGCTAAAAAATGTTTCAGCAGTTACGCCGTCAGCTGTGCAGTCAGGCGCAATCCAAACTGCAACAGGTTCAGGTGGTAAAACGCTTCACTCAGCAGGATCTTGAGACATTCGCTCAGTTTACTGGGGACTATAACTTTATACACAGCAAAGACATGCCCGTTGAAGAACGGCGCGTTCATGGTGCCCTGCTTAATGCAGTTGTGGCTGGCATCATAGGTACACAATTGCCAGGACCTGGCACTGTGGTGCTGGAACAAAGCTTCAAGTTCTTGAAACCATGTCGCATAGAAACAGACACCCTGGTGACTGTGCGTCTGCTTCAAGCGCGTAAAATAGCCACCGTGGAGTACGAGTGCAGACAGCACGATGATGTGGTCTTTGCTGGCAATGCCAAATTGCTGACACGCAAAGCTGACCCTTAGTTTATGGAAATAAATAAATAAACAAATTACTTTTTGTGTATATATTAATTCTATTTCTTTGTTGCACGTTTGCCCTCGCCCTTCTTGGGCGGCGCTTTTCCACGCAGCTTGCGTAAGCGTTTCATTTCCTCCTTGAAGTCCTGATGCTCATCACGAAATAGGCCATAATCGCGCAGATTTTTCATAAGCAAATGGGTTTCCACATGTCGCGGATACCAGTTGACGACAAAGTCGCGTTTCTGAATGGGCTCCTCTGAGAACATACGAACAACCTGTACAAAACTGTCCATTAATATATATTTCATAAATAACTAAATTTAAAAGCTGTATGAAACCTTCATAGATTTGTCGTTTGTTGTGCGCGCCACCTCGCCAAATATGCGATTCGACAGATAATTCATGCGCCGCGCGTACTGTGTCCCGAGCTTAATAAGCTCGCTGTATTTGTAGGACATTTTTAATTCAGCTTAAGTTTACTTATAATATTATTAAAGCAAATGGGGTTATGTCACTCAGCCGCCACACAAACAAGAAACAGCTGCTTAGTGATGGTAGCTTAAGTCATCGATATCGATATGCATATTGTGCAACTATTAACAGTAACGAACAGACACTACAGGCAATTATGCATAAGGTATATACAAATACGAACGCACAGCATACTGATGCAACAAACTTTTCGCTTTGAATTCTGCCGGCTGTGTGACGTTCATCAAGATTCATTGCGGGGTTTTACTTTTTCAATGCTGACTGTTACTTATCGATGTTAAAAAAGATTCTATCCACAATTATGCCGAACGAATGTAACTTCTTATGCCAGAATTAAGAGCAAATCCCTCAATAAACTGAATTCAAGAAGCTCCACATTCCGTTGGCGTTAACCTTTTTTTTGTAGCTTTTGCAAATTAGAAGTTTACAAAACAAAACCAACAAATGCGAATAAGTTAAAGGCAATCTACTCATTTATTTTTTTAATAATAAATAAGAATTTTTGAAAAATCATCGCACACCCTGTATTTTTGTTGAATTATTCATTCATTCATTTCATTTCAAATTCGTCAAATTAACGTTTATTTCTAAATGAAAGCTAAAAGTAACAGTAAATGGAATTGAAAATTGCAGCGACAATTTAACTTTCTATTATACACAGTAGATTACAATGTTGTCACAACACTAAAATTGTTTTTAAACCGTTTCAATGTTGCTTCGGCCCTTTCGTCTGTTCTCATCATCAACATCATTGCCTATAAAGGATGTTTCCTCGGAGCTTTGTGCCGGGAGCACTTCTCTAGCAATGGTTACGCCACCATTCAGTTGGCTTAATAAAGCATTCGTGCCCAGAGACGACGGTTCCCGTGGCGAGCCACTGTGCACCGATATTTGATCGATGTGCAGCACGCGAGAAGGCGTATGCGAACGAGAGGATGGAGATGCATTGCCCACAGCGCTGCGCGAGTGTGGACTATTATTGCGTGAATGGGGAAAATCCTCTAAAGGGATTTCCTCTGAACTGCAAAGCAAAGATGTAAGTTATCCTAATAAAATCTCTTTAATTAAACGCACCGTGGTCTTGGCATACGTGGACTGCTCTCACGGGAGCGATTACCGGAGCCGCGCGCCTGTGAATTTTCTCTAGACTGGGAGGAGCTGTGGCTGCCGCCACTGACACTAGGTGAACGATCGCGATCCAGAGCTGTGTTTCCCAGCCGCAGCGACAACGGTGAACTGGAGCCGGCATTGGGACTTCGTCGTCGTGAGCGGCTGCCGCTTTCATTCCGTATGCTTAAATTGTATATATATATATATAATTATATAAATATAATTATATTTATATGGGATTTACCCCTCTAGGGAACGATTCTGCGCCATCTGCGTGCGACTTATGCCCGCGCTGTTGTTACCACGCAGCACTGCCGCAAAGCCGGGCACTCGACTCGCTGTCAAATTTGCACCCTTTTGCGCCAGGCGCGTATTGCCACAACTTGTTGAGGTGCCACACACTGGAAACAGCGGCGAGTCCAGCTGGCCGGGAATTTCAATAAGCTGTGCTATTTGATACATTTTCTTCTGACGCGCCTTGCTGCGACCCTTTGTCAGGCGCTGTTTGGCCGCCATGCACCGTATATGATCGTCGAACAAAAATTTGGCAGAGAGCTGCGGCGTGCGATTATGAGTGACGCCGCCGCGATGCACTGTGATGTGCAGGCAGCGTGAATCATCCTTGTCACCCTGCACCTCCACATCTTGCAGGAAGCCCACAAATTTGGCCACGCCCCAGCCCAACAGCTTGGCATCGGGCTCCACGAGTATGAGTTGCAGTGCATCAATGACCAAGAAACGCCGCTGCTTAGCATTTTCCTTCGACACAACAGTGCAGGCAATTAGGTCACTGTTGTCTACCAGGAGTAAAATGATTATAATTTGCTAGCAGACGTTTTCATCAAAACTTACTCAGATCAAGCACATTCTCCACCTGCACAAGATTTACTACGTTCGTCAGTGGCAGCAGCGATTCCTTCTCATTCAAGAACTTTTGGCACGTTCGACGCAAGAGGAAGTATACGCGAATGGCGCGTCGAGCCTTCTCCACCTCACCGCATGGCAGGCGCCGGGTAAAGCTAATGCCTGTTAAAGGCGTGCCTGTTGGCGGCAGAAGAATGTTCGAGTCCATACAAAGAAACTCAACATTCAGCTGTGCCTTGCACATCTCATTGTACTCATCCTCGAACAGATCTAGGAATATGTCCTCCGATTTGTAAAAGTTGCGCAGCACAACCATCGACTGATTGCGGGCACTGAAGAGCAAACCCTGCTGCGTGGCCGTTATGCAGGGCGCCTCATCCGCAACCGGCTTGGTGAAGGTCAGCAGCAGCTCCAAGGCAATCTCAACTGTGATCAAACGTATGCGACTGGCTGCACATGAAGATGGAGTACAATTAATACAATTCGATAATAAAACGTATACCTATGTTATGTAATGTAGATTTTGTGATTATGTTGTTTCGGATAGCCTTGATGCAATAGGAATGAGACTAAAGACATAAGCTGGAATTTTTTAACTTTTAAACAAAATTTTTGCGATTTTAACAAGTTATCTTGAGTAAGCATCTAAGAAGTGGAGCAAGGAAGATATCTAAGTAATCGGACACTCCATAACTTATATGATATTAGACTTAATTCAACCCAACTGAAAACTAAAACGTTTTCGAATGTGATACAATGAAGGAAAATATACCCGAAAGGCTTTTCCTAAGGTGCGAGAGACGCAAACTAGTACTTTACTTACATGGTAGGCTGGAATGCGTGATGATATTAAGCAGATGCTCAATTAGCGCAGTCTTATAGCTAAAAGAGCCCCGCATGGATTTGGAGAGCACCTGCTCAAACCATTCGTTCTTCATGCCTGTGAACAGAAACGAGAAGAGTTACTTATAAGCGAGTTGTGGTGCAGCTCCTTGGGACACATTAGTATGGGGAAATGAACAAGTTACATACCATCTGGTACAGGGTGCCATATTGTGTATACATTATTGTGAATCATTTTTTTTCACACCACACACAAAAAGCAGTGAAATGAGCATTGCAAAGAGCAGAGAGAAGTGAGAGAGGCAAAGTTAGATGAGAACCGGAGCAGCTGATGTGTAGCTGAATCTCTAGATACTTGGTCACAGTCAAACTTACCTCGATTGTGGGACATGGCGTATATGAGGCAGAGTGATAATAGGGCCAGATAATCATTCTCTGTGCAATCAAGTGACTGCAACACGGTGTCCAGAAAAGGCTTGGCTAGCTCAGTGAAAGCCTGCGTCGATGTGGACTGCTGCAGCATCTGTTTCTCCTCGTCGGTTATGTTGCGCAACCTGGTGGCTGCAGCCTCAGCAACAGTTTCTATGTGCCTGCTTGTGGCCGATGTTGTCGTCGCTGCTGTTGATTCCACGCCGTTGTCCTCGCTAGCTGCATCGCCGCTGTAGTTCGCCGTATGGCCTACAACCGTGTCCAATGCCTGTTCGAGACTCTCATGTGGCTCACCAAAACCAGGCACCACCACTTCGCGATGTTCCGTATAGGAGTTGAGTATTTCGGCAGCGCCTTCTTTGAATACGCTATGGTCACCATTTAGAATGACCCAGGCGAGGGCATGCACCAGCGGCGCATGCGTGACAACCAGAAACACGAGCGATAGCAAATATAGCGCCACAATTGAGCTAACACGTGGATTATGCATTTCCTGAATGTCTATGTCCACATTGCGATTCAGCACAGCCGCCAAATTCTGCGTGACCAATGCTAACGAAGGCGGCGGCGGCGCTGGCGTCAACGAGAATATATACAAGGGTACAAACAGCTTGTGCAGCAAGTGTTCAGTGAGAACGGCATTCAGATCCGTGATATCCAGCAGCAGGATGTCACTCAAGTAGTGTAAATGATCAAGATGTTCGGCAACCAAATTGGAAAGCTTTTGCTTCGATTGGTGACTGGCGGGAGAATGGGGATTCTTAATTAAGAACATTATATGAATTTATTGTACCCTTACTCTATGTCTGTGCGCACGCAGGTATCCAGCTCCAATATGTGCTTGCCAATAAACCAAACCAGGTTGCTGAAGTAGGGTGCCGCCGTTCTAGTATAGATAAAGATATTAAATAGATTGTCTTCCTCCAGGTTTATTCACTTACTTGTCTCTAATAAAACGCAACATGCTCGCATTTTGCACCTTGTACACATTCAGGGAAATTGTGCGCACTGCAATGCGCACCATGGACTCGGGATGATTAAAGAATTTAATAGCCTCCGTGTACAGTGGAAAGTCATTTGTGTGCTGATAATGAAAAACACAGCAAATTAACCGCTTTAAACATTAAATATATGTAAGCACCCACCTCAGTGTAGAAAAAATGTATTGTGTGTGTGTTTAGCTTGAGGCTCAGCGTTTTCAGAAAGAGTATGTAATAGCCCATGACATCCTCATCGGAAAAGTCAAATTTGTGCAACATTATAGAATTCACATGGTTATTACTTAGTAAATAATCTGAAAAATTAATAATTGCAAATTCTTCTTAGCAGCAAATCTCATAAATTTTAATTTTCAGTTTTTTAATTTTTTTTTTTTCTAAGCAAAAACAGCATAAATCATATAAAAAATGTTTAAAACAGAAAACATTGTAAAAAAAATCTTCAAGCAATTCTTATTAGAACAGTTAAAAGCTATAATAATAGTATGCCGTCCAAATTGTGATACACAGACATATCATAAAAAGAGAACTGTTATATTAATGCTGTATAGTAGGAATGTTAACGCATGCAAATAACAGTATATTCTTTGCTCACAACAGAACATTAGGTTTGGGGATATTATAGCGATATATCGTAAAATAGTTTTAATGCTGATTGCAATATACTTTGTAATTCTTATAAATAATTGTTTACATACACAAGGATGTCTCATTTCGGATGTTCTCAAAGAGAATATTAAGTGTCTGGAGTAACTGTACGCAAACATAGCTGGAGCCGCCGCTCTTCTGCCGCATAATGTGCAAAAAGTATGAGAGCATGTTCTTCTCCAAAAAGAAGCTGTAAAAACAGAAATAGGAATGCTTCTTAATTATATTACAATGTAAGTCGCAACACTTACTCGAACACAAGGGAGTCATGTTGATCGCCCCAGATAAGAATCTCGGCAATGCAGCGCAATGATTCAACCAGCAGACCGCGGTTGCTCTCCGATACCGTTGTGTTTTTTTCCAAAATACTGTACAGGTACTTTAGGTGCTCCAATGACAGTCGATTCTTAGGACGTCCGCCCCAAGGGCCGCCAAACCAGCTACGACTTCGAAACATTATGCGAGTATTAAAAACACTCTGTCTCAATTGCGACTGGGTAAACTCAATGCTAATAATAGAATTAGTCTATAACCATTTAACTCAGAACACAAAAGACCTCACAAAATAACTCATTACCACTCGATGGAGCTGGAAATTCCAGCACTAGAGCTCGCTGAGAGCCCACGATATAATGTAAGCTTGCCAAGCGGCACGTCACATAAACGAAACTAATTTTGTAAATATATGCGAAAAAAATAGGATTTTAATTTTCAACAAACGATTCTTCTTCTTGCGTTTTCTGTAAGACGACAGCAGGTGTCAATGTCAGCTGTTGCTCAAACGCGTGGTCACACTGTTGTCATGTCCACTACATATGTGTACACACTGACCCAAACAGCTGAAGAACAAAAATTCATACCCATTTTCTTTGCAACTTTATTCTGAGAATTTAACAAACATGACACAGCATTTCATACTAACTATTATTCTGATTAAAATTAATGGAATATGATCCAGAATTAGGATCCTGTTTCATTTGAAAATTTGCGGTGGACAAGCCAAAGGGCTTTAATATCATATCGCCCAAACCCTTTAAGCTGGACATCATTTCGGTCTTGAGTTTTTCATTGCGCTCATTTATATAGGCAGGCAGACGTACTTGGGCCTCTCGTGCCTCACGCTGACCTGGATCAATTTCATAGACGCGCTTGTAATCAGTGAGCGCCTCATCCGGCCTGTCATCCTGCTCGTACAGCTTCGCACGTCTATTGACAGTTTGTTTTAATATTTTTATTTTGCTAGTTAAATTAAATACTTACCGCAACAACGCACGCACATATTCCGGATAAAGTTCTATTGCCTTCGTACAGTCATAAATGGCTGATTTATTGGCTTCCAGCTTCATTTTGGCCGCTGCTCGATTACCAAACAGCACAGCACGCTCCTTACTATTCGTGGAGGGGCAAATGTTCAGGGCTTCAGTGTAGAGCTCAATGGCACGTTCGGCCTGACCGTTTTTGAAGAGTTCATTGCCTTCCAGTTTCAGTTTGTCGGCATTTTCTTTGTTTAGTTCCAGCTCCTCGGCGCTAAGGTCTTTCTCTCGCAGCTGTAGCTCTTCCAGGCTAAGTTCTTCATCGTGATGAATCAATTCTAATCTATCACCATTATTGTCATCGTCATCGTTGTCGTCCTTGTTGCCCTCTTCTTTTCCACCCACGGCGCCAGTTTCATCATCCTCCAGACGTAGTTTGCTGTTCTTTTCTATAATATCGTCAATCAATTTGTCTTGTTTCGGAGAATTGGTTGTAACTTTTTGTATGGACGGCACTGGTTCGCTGAGTGCATCCTGGAATTCTTCTTCGCTGACAGTCTTCTCTGCCATGTTGTTATCTAGTTCTTAACTTCAATTTGTACTCGAAATTTCGATCGCAAAATATTTGTGTTATTGTGCGTTGCAGTTTAGTCTTAATTTTAATATTCACAGTGTGGACACACTGGCAAGCAGCGCTGACTGTTGCATTATTTATGCTATTATAGTACAGCAGCACTTAACTAGAGATGACAGATATTTACAACGATATTCAGTCGGTAACAGAAAAATTGTTTGGTGTTTTGTCAAGAAACCGTAATAGTCTGAACTGACATTCATTATATTCAATTTATTTCTTATTGCAATAATATATTTTTGTAATATATCAAATCACTTGCCTTGACCAAATAGTTGCGCTAATTACTGTTTGTCATTTTTGACCAATCTAAGTGCGGTCACACTAGATCAATTGTAAACATCGGAATGGTCGGCGTTAACCACATAAATGCGCCACTTGTTGTGGACATCGACGCACATACGTTGACGGAATATGTACCAGCTAAGCCATTGGAAAGCAACCTCGAAGTGGTCTTTGTCTCCGCAGAGCAGGTAAGTGCACACAATATTCGTTAGAGTTTATTTAAACAACAATGTTGCAGGGTTCACTCAGAGCACCATTTGAGCCATGTGGTCAGCTGAATTGCGGGAATACCTTGAAATTTCCCTTTGCACGTGGTGCTAACAAACCTACAGCAGTGGCCATAGTAGATGCCCAAGTGCTTGTGGCCGCCGATGCAGCTACGGAGACGAAGCGTGTTGTGGAGCTTACGCTAGACACTGCAGCCCTTGGTGAATTGGACTATGCGCCCGGCGACACAGTGGCCGTATTACCTAGCAACGCACCTCAGATAGTGGCGCAGCTATTGCAGCGCCTGGATTTGAGCGAGCAGGCGGATAGCGTTTGCCATTTAAGCCTTGCTTTAAACTGCGCCAAGAAGAGTGCCAAAATTCCCGGCCACATACCGGCAACAACGACGCCACGCGAGTTACTAACACATTGTCTATCGCTGCACGCAGTTCCACAAAAACAGTTCCTTAGCGCTTTAGCGAGCTGCACCAGCGAGTCGAAAGAGCGCTCTTTTCTGGCCAGTCTCTCCTCCAAGCAGGGCGCCGCACACTATCAGACACTCATTTTGAAGCGTGGCTTATGCTTGATGGATCTGCTGGAGCTATGCACCACCTGCCAGCCAACGCTAGCCTTGCTGGTCGAGCATTTGCCACGCCTGCTTCCACGCCCGTATTCCATAGCCAACAGCCCATTGGAATGCTCGCAGCAGCTGCGCATCATTTACTCTATACGCGCGAATAAAGCGGGCGTCACGACCAGCATGCTGGAGGCCATGCGTGAATTGTATCGGGAGAAGCAGCAACCAGTCCAACTATACATTTATCCTCGCGAACAGAATGCATTCCGTTACACGGACCAAGAGCTGAGTGGCAATCAAATACTCATAGCTGTGGGCACGGGGTTGGCTCCTTTTCTAGGTTTTCTGGCGCACAAGCAGCTGCATAAGGAGCTAGCGACAGGTCAAACATGGCTGTATGTGGGCGCCAAGACGCCGCAGGCCATTCTAAAGCAGCAGCAACTGCTTGCCTGGCAGAAAGCATCAATCCTACAGAGCCTACGGCTGTGCTATTCCCGAAGCACCACAGGAGAGCAGCCAAAATATGTCCAGCAATTGCTGGAACAGGATGCGCAGCAACTTGTGGAACTGATGCAGCAGTCCACAACTGTTTTATATGTGTGCGCAGACGGTGCCGCGATTTCCAAGTGCATCAACGACGGTCTGCGTCGCTGTCTGCAGCTTGTTTTAAAGCTAGACGAGACGGAGGCCACACAGTGGCTCAAGGAGATGCGCGCGAAGGGCAAATATCGCGAGGACATCTGGCTATAATATGAATAAGAACTATTTTCCATTGTTTAACATGCATGTTAATGAAAATGGTAAATTCAAAGAAACGTTTAACTTGCTTCGAAATAAATATGGTGCTTACAGACGAATGGAAAATTTAAAGAATCTTGGGGCTTGATGCTTCGGGGCGAATGCTTTCGATTGCATTATCAAAAGAAAATAGTTGTGGGGGATCACCAATTACCTAATATGCATATCTTTAAAGTACCTGGTAATTTTTAAAATTAATACAAAAGTATGCTTCGCGATGAAATCCTTTAACTTACCTAAGGAAACACCAATCATTCAGCACATTCTCTTAATGATAATTTTGCTAGTAAAAAGCGCCAGTGAAAAGCAATTAAAGATCTAAATGCTTTGGTCGAATAAGTAAATAACGATATATTTAACAACACAAAATAAAAATTACAGTGCAAACTAAAATAATACATACAAGTTGTGCGTATAAAATTGTAAATAACCGTACGCTCAAACGACGGTGTGTGTATGGGTGTGTAGATTAAAACTAAATATATGCATACTATCAGCTCGTAATTGTTAAAAATAAAGTATATTATAGATTGCAAAATATAATTATAATTATTTCAATTAAATGTGTAATATACGATTACGACTTAGGTAAACAATTGCAAAAAAAAAAATGCATTAAAAACTTCTTGCGTGGAATTATGTGCAATATCGGACTAAAATCAAAAAATAAGAATAAAACCTTTTGATAAAATACACAATATTTGTAAAGTTCTGCGATAAGTATTTGTATGTACTTATTTAATATTATTATGTATATCAATCAGCGTAGGTAATATGCATAATATGTATTTTAACTACATTTAAATTTAAATAGCGCCAATTGTTTGAATGTATATTATGTAAATGTATATATGTATGTATATCTTTGCTTGCTTTTATAAGTTATGAATATAACGGATTAAGGATTTTATCAAAAATTTTCTTGGATGACATACAGTTTTCTCATAGTTCATTAATGTTTCTTTTTTTTACAATTGCAATAAAAATTCCGTATAAAAAAATTATGCTACTTTTTAAAGACTTAAGTTCCGCTTCGTTCCGTTTAATTGTAATCATTGCCTTTAGTTTTATTCTTTTCGTTATTTGTTTAAATGCGCTTGCGATTATGTTTGTTTGGGTATGTCTGCGTTATCTGCCAACTGGCTCAGAATACTTTTCTAGATTTCTTCATATCCAAAATACTTTGCGTTCGTTGCCTTGCCTAATAATACACTGTCGTTAAGCGATCTAATCAAAATTAATATTTTATTTAAGCTCTAAATGATGCACAAATGCATTACGTACTTATTTTCTTTCTTTTTTGTTTTTGTTATATTTCAAATTGTGCACACCCTGCAATTGCAATGTACGAGAAATACCAAATGTAAATTTGGTAAAACACCAAATGTATCAATTTTAATAATATACTTAAAAAAGAAAGTATTGTCAAAATGCAAACGTTTCCACTTATTACATTTATGGTTACAATCACAGGGTGCACTTTGCAATTAATTAAAATAGGTTCTTTAATTTAACTATGACCGTTCTACAGCAGCAGTCGTTGGCTACTAACATTGCATATGGAAATATGTGGCGGGCCATTATGTGTGGAAATGTATAAAAAATAGCCGCTCACTACTAAGCTATTGCATAAAAATTTTTGTTTATATTATACAATGTATATAACAAGTAAAGAAAGCTAAGCATCGGCGCACCGAAGATGTCCATACTCTTTCCAACCAAAACCAGTGTTGTACATCATTTAACTCCAATTGCAAAAGTCAGCGACTAGTTTGTAACGTTTGGGTACTGGCAGTTGATTTTAAAATTTGGAAAGAGCATTCAAATATTTCAACTAAATCGAAAAGGCCAAAACGTAAACTCGTTGATTATTTCGGCTAAGGTATACGTAAAATATTGTGGAATTAAACTTTTTCCTTTCACTTATCTTCCACTCTACCTGTCCCTCTCTCTGCTATTTGTATTTGGCATTCGCGCGAAAAATTTTCATGGGAATTACTCTAGGTAAATGTACCTCGTCCTACATATTTTTGTATACAGTATATGCATATGTATTTTCCCTATATTGAATTATCATCATTTTTGACACACACATTACCGTTAGATAACAGCATAGCGCATTTGTATAGTTCAATCGCATTTCATTTGTGCGCTACGTTTATGGCAATCAATTTATTTTTTGTTTTTGTTTTTTTGGGGGAGGGGTGCAATTCTTGAATTAGGACAACTGTCTGGGATAAGGTTCTGTTTCTTTTGTGTTTAGTTTGGTTAAGCTTATTTTTCTTACGTTTGTACTAATTTAAATGGAATATAGAACCATCTCACGTTTGAATTTTCTTGGGAATATCTTCTTTTTTCTTCTCTCTCTCTCTCTATTAAATTTTTTTTGTAGATAATGCTGCCAATTTGCTAAGAATTGTTTAAAAGTATATGTAGCTAGGAAGTTTTTGTTTTCGTTGTTGTTGGCTTTACTTGTATGGTTGTTGTTGTTGTTGTTGGTGGTGTTGTTTGTGTCCACTCACTGCTGCTAGCTAGTCCTAATGGCACTTGTTACACTCATTTCCACTTGTTACATTTTAACGATTTTTCATTTGTTTTTTTTTGTTTTTGTTTTTGGTAATTTACAACAAGTATTGCATGTTTCATTTGCTTAATCGTTTTGTTTTTAGTTGTTGCACTTAGAGACTACGACGAATTTTATGTAGAATTGCATAATGCAGCTTTGATAAAATCGCTTAAATCACATTTATGTATATGTATACACTATTTTAACATTTATGCATCTAATGTCCACTTAATAAATATTATATTTCAATATTTTTATATCAGCTGTGTGTGAAATATAATTAAACTATTGTATGCTTTCGTAATCGTAATTGTATTGCATATACCCGCCTAGGTATACACAGGGGCACACTCAGCCAGTCATATATACTTACACAAATATATTTAGAAGTATTGTTAGATGTATGCATGAATATCGTATGTCTCAGGCAAAGTAAAATATAGTAAGCAAAACAGTCGAACAACTGTAAACCGTCTAATCTATACCAAAAACAAACTTCGTAAGCTGCTTTCTCATCTGCGGCTGCTGTGACGTCACTTCTTTGCACCTTCTGTGTTTTGTTCGGCGTTTGTTGTTGTTGTTGTTGTAGTGGTTGTTGTTGTTGTAGTGGTTGTTGTTGTTGTAGTGGTTGTTGTTGTTGTGATTAGCGCCGACCATTGGCCTTGTCCTGCAATTAGAGATGCGCATATCTGTTATTGCTGTTGCACAAATGTTTATCGATTGCCAATTTGCCTGTGACTCAGACCTATGTATTTAAATTATAAGTTGCTTTTAGTATTTAAATATGACTCAGGCTTCAGCATTTTAAATCCAACGCGTGCCGGGTCATATAGTGAAAACTGTCTTGGGCGGATAGCAACCGTCGGGTAATTTTTTTCCGCTCAAGAGTGTCCGGGAAATGGGTTTCGGGTATTCATTACTTGAAAGAAAATGTACGCTCAAGAGGTTGTTTGATTAAAAGAAAATATCATCGGCACGCCGAAAATAAAGCATCGGAATAATGCGGAATTTTAGTAAAGCGAATATTTTGTCACACAAAACTCACAGATTCCCCCTAACAAACTATATAATATAGTTGTGGGATATTGATAAGATGTGGCTCATATGCACGATTCAATGACGAGTTTGGTTAAGATATATTGATAATCAATAGAAATTGTCATACAAGAACTTGATTTTCGACCAATCATTCCTATGTCAGCTATATAATAAAGTGATCAGATATATTTGAGGAGCATAGTGAAACTAGTAAATGGCGAGTTTGGTCAACATTTTAAGATAAACAAAAAAGTTTTCCATACAAGATCCAAATATTCGACCGATCAATCCTATGGCAGCTATATGCTATATTGAAGTCCGATATTGGTATCCGATATCCCTATATGTAGGGAGGGTAGCAAAACAACAAATTTCAATGGTTTTTATGCATGAACTTAAATTTCGAAAGATCAATGCTCTGGCAGCTTTATGATATAGTGGTTCTGACATACGTACTGCCTGCAACAGAAACTCGGACATATGCAAAGTTCCATGAGGATAGCTTTAAGCCTGAGAGACTTATTTGCATTGAAACAGACACGTCTATATCAACTCTGTTTTTGAAATTAATCAAGAATATATACCTTATAGGGTCGGAGATGTCTCCTACTACGTTGCATGACAACATTAAAATATCCCCTACAAGCGTATACAAACACGTACCAATCTTGGGGCTGTAATTCCAATAAGATATAGGATAGAAAGGAGAGCATATATATGGGGTGTGGTATGGTATATGGGGTTGTTGATGCCTCCTTCTACCTGCTACATGCTTTTGCACAATATGCCTATTTTTTTCACAGATTATAAATAGGTACAGAATATAAATATAGGATTTTAGGCATCAGAGATCCTTTTCCCCCTCCCCCTTCAACGCAGCTATGATAAAACACGAATCCAGAACTAATCACAGTTTTTTTAAAAACATTCAAACTGAATACTAGGTTTAGTTATTTATTTATCGAGTCTCGTACAAATTGCATACTAGAAATTTCTGGTAACTATTTCCGTGTTGCCGGAAAGCTCTTGTGCAGTTTGCTCAACTCTAATCAGGGGGTAAATATTTGCAATGATGTCTGCACAAACAGAAACCATCGACTAACATAAAAAAGTGGCATAGCATATTTATATGTACGTATGTATTGGTACATGTGTACACTTGAACTTTATTCCAATTAACATTTTGACCTTTATTAATTGCGATAAACATTGCATAATGTCCATGAGCCGTAGCTGCACACACACGCAACAAAGCAATGGACATGTGTACTACAAATTTTATAAAAAAATGAAGCAAATTTGAACATGCCAAATAATCAGTTCGCTTGTCTTATCACTTTTCGCTGTTTATCAATGTGATTAAGATACTCATAGCTGATTAGGCTGGCAGCGCCCAAAAAACAACAACAAAAAACATATGAAATGAACTGGAACTATAAATAGATACAGACATGGCGAAGGGCAATGATGTGTAAGAAGAAGCAGAGCTTGGCTGCACTCCAATTGGCCCACTGGGTATACTGGGTATATTTTATGCAAACGTTGCGCTTATCTGTTCGATTTTGCATAATTACAACAATTTCCTCCTTTTTGTGGATTGTTATTATTAATATTTTCAGTGGGTCGCAAAGCGCAACAGGTTTGTTTTATTAGCGTGTGTATCGCATACAAAACACAAAAATGTTGCCTTGTTATTGTTATTTTGCTTATTGTTTTTGTTATTAAAGCGTTGGGAGCGCGTCACTAGCGTATGTATGCAGCCAATTATCAGCGCAATAATTGTGCAGATGTGTGTGTCTATATGCACATATGTACATATGTACATATGTGTGCATTTATCGGCATGTGAAGCGCCCGCGCTAAAGTCACGCTTAAATATCAATGAAAAACCCAGCGACATTTGTGTCCGTGCCACTCGACTCCCATTGTGTTTGTTATATTTATAGTTGTCCAGATAAGACAGATGCGCTCGTCTCGTACTTTCACAGCTAAATTTTCAACACAATTTTCCATTGACGAAAAATTCACGGGAATGGATTAAACAATGAGCATTTAACTTTCAATATTTACATTCTATAGGACTATTATTTTTTTAAGAAGTATCGAGACATTTGTGAGCCACTTCCCTTTCACATGGAAGCCAACCGTTTAAAAGGCTTTCAACTAACGCCATAATTTTCGCGTCTCTTTATTATGTGCCCGACTATATGCATATGTATGTGTACACATGTGTATATAATTATATTTTGAAATTCGCTCGAACTTAGTCTAACCCTATTTTAATACACTTCAAGAAACAGGGTATAAATACAGTTATGTCGGCAATTATCTTTAGTTTTTCATGCAAATGAGAATCAAAGCCAGCGGTAGCTGATTTATGCCTTCAAAACAGCGCTCCAGCTCATGCTCCAGTTTTAAGAGTCGCAGCAAAAATATCATTGCAAACTTTGAAAATCGCTATGAAAGCTCAACGACTGTTGTTGTTGTGTCATGTGGAGTGCATGTGGAACATGTTGTATAAGTAACACACAATAAAACAATGCAATTGATGAAATTTTCAAGCACCGAGCACTGTGTAATCTCATACGTAATGTAACTGAAAATGCAGCAAAAAATTATAATTATTATATTGCTGGGCATTGCATGATACATATGTACATACACACATACGTATGCAAAATGTCGCGCGAGTGCGGCGGCGGATGGGTAGAGGTCGGTTGCCATGTTTGTTATGAAAAACGAGCTCACAACACGAAGTTCCTCCTCGCCGAAATACACAGCGAGTGAATCATATACAATTCCGCGTATCAACAACACAAACAAGAACAACTACAACCAAAGGCAGGAGACTCATATGGTTCAATAAACGAAACAAAGCCAAAACAGAAACAGAAAAACCAAATCGTACAACGTAAAACCTTTTGTGCGCAAGGTGAAATTATAAGAGTGGGTAGGGGGCGCACAACTTACGCAAATTGAACGCACAATGGAATTGGGTTTAGTCATTTCAAAGTTTTTGTATTTTTGGACGTTTGCTTAGGCAAATACAAAAACTGCTACTAAAACTACATGCAATATACAAAAGCACAGACACGCACACATACTTACTTATATATGTATGTACATATGAATGGCTGCTGTTCAATGTCGCTCTCAGAAAAAGTCAAAAGTGTTAAGCGATAGGTATAAGTTCACACACACCCATAAATGTATTTTACATGTTCATGTATAGGGCCTTTCACAAGGCTTTACGCATACGCGTGGACTGGAAATTGTACTTTGGCCCCAGCAGCGCCACTCCCAGCGGCAGCAGCAGCAGCCGGCAAAAAGGCAGCATGCAACTGCAGCAGACGCGCAGCCAACAAACTGGAAATGCACACAGGGACATACACATGTGCATACATTTGGATATGTATGCGTGTGTATGGTACATGTAATTTAAAAGCCCATATTGATTTCCTGCGTTAAATATTTGCGAATGATTATTCATTGTGCTGCTGCCGTCGCTGCTGCTGTTGCTACTGCTACTGTTGTTTGTTAACATTATTGTCATCAATAAGACATTTGGCACACAAAAGCCTCAACCGCATAAAAACCAACATCAACAAAGTTAAAACTTTGCGATCACACACAAACACAATTAAAGAGAGTACCTACAGCTGCTGCCTCGATTGGGAGTAGCAAGCGAAACGGAAAGCAAAAGTATTTGCCGCTAATATAAACAAATAAACAGCCAAAGATCCGGTAGAAAAGTGCACGCACTGTGTGTGTGTGTGGAAGTGAATAAGGGCGATCGAGTGGGAGTGGGAGCGAGTAAGCTAGAGCGACGCACAGTAACAGTGAGAGCGTAAAAATAGCGCAACGCGACGTCCAATACATGTAGCGGTCGCCACCGCCACCGCCACCGCCACTGCACAAGCAATTAAATTCAATAAGTGGATGGTGGTGAAAAAATGCAGCCAGACAAACAGAAAGATACAAGAAAGACAATAGCGAAAACATTACGACTACTGCGACATTTAGCAGCCCAGCAACTCTGGCTAGACAAAGATCGCACTAGTTTTTTATTCTTACGCTTATCAAAATCAACTTATAACGCCAACAAAGGTTCTTGGAATTTGATAAACGCAGTGGGGTTTTTAAGATAGCTAAGATATGCATGCATATATGTATGTGTGTGAACTGCCTAAGTGCTGTTTGATAAGGCTATAATAAAAGCGGAGCATGTGTGTAGGTGTTGCTGTCTGCGTATGTGCGCAGTGTGTGAATTGGAAGTTGTTTTTTTGTGATAATGTATGAGTTTTTATTTTATACATTTTTTTTTTGGCAGACAATGCGTTATTTCAAGTCTTTTCTTTGCTGTCCAACAGGAAATGCGAACGAACGTATTTAATAGCGTTGGTTAGCTGCTGGCGCACATACACACGAAATTGTTATTGTTTGTGTGTATGTGTGCCAGTGTTTACGTGTTACTTTTCAATGGGATTGCGTGCTTCAGCAAAGAGAATAAATGCTACCTTAAAGAAAATCTCAAGTCGAAGCTTTGATGCTCTTAAAAAAAAAAACAATAATGTCAAAGCAATTCTCGATATATGATAAGTTATCTGTTTCTAGGATTTTGTGCTTGTACTTTACTGCTGCGCATTCCCTTCCATCCACAAGTCACACAACCAGTTTTTTGAGAACTTTGTCAACTCAAGCACAATTATCTAAGCATAATTTATATACAACTAAAGAGCTGACATACATACTTAAAGCTGATTATTCAAATGCAAACGCAACTGTTGTAATAAAAAATAAACGCAAGGCATGTGTTTTGTCATATATGCAACAAATATACACACACACAAGTATTGCTTAGGCTCGAACAAGACCTTGATCGAGTTTAATCTGTTTCACAGGTATCAACAGCCAATGATTAGGGCATTTCATTAAATTTTGTACAACCTCTTCGCAACAACTCCCCTTCACTTTAAACATTTTTTTGTCACTGCTGCAAAAAATTGGATTGGTCTATTAAATTGGAAACCTGTTTTGTCGTTTTGCGATGGCCTAATAGATAAGACAGAGATTGGGATCTATATATGCGGACGAATGCACCGCTAATATCATACAAATAATTCTTCGGACACTTATGAAGCAATCTGTACTTCAAGAATTTCTATTTAAATAATAAATCTATAATTTCTCGGTCTTTCTAGACGATTTGTTGACAAACGAAGAAGAAGAATTTAATATAACCGTTTTTAACATATTTTCCACATAATATAAAGTAACTAGAGTTAAAAACGACAAATGCAGATCTGCAAATGCCCAGTCCTAAGATTTTGTCCTGTGCATGGATCGTCAATCAGTCTGATTGATTGACAGACTTATATGTATGTGTGCATGCATATATATGCATACTTTATTTTTTGAATTTCTTAATTTTGTTTATATTATATATAAACATACTATATATTATATTTTTTGGACTTACCACTTAACGTTGTTTTCGGCCAGCGATGTGCAATGCGTGCGTCAGCTGGACAGACGACAGACGGAGGGACACACATACATATGTATGTATGTATGTGACTTGTTACGTTTTATGTTGTTTTTGTTGTTGTTGTGACTACGTTTTCATGAAAGACTAATCAGCATTTTGTTCCAGATTTCGAATTTATACACAATAGAAGAACGTCTACGAAATGGGGGGGCTTACACAGGATATACAGGGTGAGTCGTTTGGTCACATCACGCATAGAGCAATTTGCCAGCTCGATGATGTTGTTGACACATTAACTATACATTGCGTCTGAGAACCTTCTTGGCAGCCTTAATATTGGGCACCAAAGCCTTCACCTCGCTGCAATCATCAAGAAACGGATGCTTGAGGAGCTCATCGGCTGTGGCACGACGATCCACGTCGACCTGGAGACAACGATCGAGAAAATCCTGCAAGCTGGGACTCAGTTTGTCCCAGCTCTTAATATCAGGTCGTCCATTGGCGGCAATTAGGTAGAGCGCACGTAGTGGCGTCTCATACAGATAGGGAGGCTGTCCGTCAATCATTTCGATCGCCATTATCCCAATGGACCAGATGTCCACTTTTTTGCCATACTTTTTGCGTGTGACCACTTCCGGCGCCATCCAGTACGGTGTGCCCACCATGGTCTGACGCTTCTCGTCGCCCTCGATATTGGCACAAAAACCAAAATCCGTAACCTTCACACAACCATCCATGCCGAGCAGCACGTTATCAGACTTGATGTCCCGATGTATAATGCCCTTGGCATGCAGAAAGCTAATCGCATAGAGGACCTCACGGCAAACGCATGCAATTTGACGCTCCTTCATGACTGTCTCGGTGACGACGTCGGTGAGTGGACCGCCATCCATATACTCCATGACCACCCAGAGCTGATCCTCCGGCTCTAGCAGATATGCATCCAGAAAATTGACCAGATTCTTATGATTGAAATCCTTGAGCACACGTATCTCGGTCAGTATGAGATCCTTGGAGGATTGATTTTTCATTTCAATTGTTTTGACTGCCACCTGGGTTTCCGTTTGCTTATCGCCAGCTATGAATACAATGCCGGATGCACCTTTACCCACTTCTTGGCTGGTCTTGTAACGTTCACGCGGATCCTCTGGATTGCAAATGGCACGCAGCTCATCATAGATCTCCGCATCCGTTTTCTGTGCACGCTTCTCCTTGGATCGACGCAATATGGTCTCCTCTGGCGCATCGGCATCGATACCGCCCTCCTGGATGGCGCTGCCCTGGGTGTTGGGCTTAATAATAATTGTATCTGTATTAATCTTGTGTGGTTCCCCATCTAGGCTACGCAGATCACGTGAGAATTTTTGTTGGATGACGCTCGAGGGTTTTGGTTTAATTTGTGGCTTGGGCGGCAGTTGATGTGGCGATTTCTTGGGCGGCACAGGCGGCGGCTCCAAGCCGCTGTGCGGCTTAACCGGCTTGAGGGTTTCACGACCCAAAGTTGATTCCAGCTCCTTGATGACATCGTTTAGCGCATCGAGCGGTATGACAGACTGTTGGCTGCTATCATTGAGGCTGCTGCTGTTGCTGTTCGCCGCGGAGCTGCCGCAACCGCTGCTGCTGCTCTCTGTTGCTGTTGAGCTACCGCTGCCATCGTCATCCGATTTATCAATGTCCTGCGATTTGTGTTTGTTCTTGTAATTGACATAGTTATCAATCTCTTTGGACTCCTCGTGTATGACATCCTCCGTAATAAAGGGCTTGAACACCTCCTGCTCTTTTTTCTTAATGGAGTAATTGTAATATTTGACCGCATGATAAGCTGCATCTGGATTTTTGTCCTGCTCATCGCGTGTGATTTGTGTGTTCATCAGGCGCACCCAGGGCGTGGGCAAACCCTCCAGATCGCCCGTCTCCTGATTGCGTGAGACATGAAAATGCCGTTGAAAATTTGTTGGGGCGCCAATCTCGGAGATTTGCTCCTTCTTCTTGAACCACTTTGCGAAACTCATGTTTGTGTTATTTCCCTATAGTTCACTTAATCTCTATGTTCTTTGTTTTCCACAACGTTGAAAATTTTATAAATGCTTGGGAAATTCTGTAGAAGCGTGTTTTGTTGTTTTGTTGCCGTAGGTAGCGCTCTAGCGCTTTCTCACTTGCACTCACACACTCACTCACAGGGCCAGCCGTGAGTCATAAACAAGCACACACACATACGGACACGCCGTGCTCAGTATATTCGTGTGTCTGCCTGCTTATGTATGTATGTGTGTATCTGTGTGCGTGTCTATGTTTTAATGTACGTTCGCTCGCTTATCTCTAGTTAAGTTTGCTTGAGCTTTAGCAGACAGCAACAGTAAAAAAAACCCACTTTGCCATTTTTGTACGCTGCTTTGTAGAATTTTCACTTTTTATTGCCTTAATTAATGCAACAAATTTTTAATTTAATGCAGTGGGCACAAATTTATTTTTATTTTTTCAACTACACACTACGAACGCACGCACGCACACACACATTTTTCTGGAGCGAGACAACGGGCACAAAAGGAGTGGCCGCGGCAGCGTCTTGTTCTGGCTCTTGTTGTTGTTGTTAATTTGCCTGTGCCGCAAATGCTAGTCGTTGGTTCTTAACCATTCCTTCGTGTCATTTTTTCTTTTATTTGGCACACTAAACTTTGTTAATTTTAAGTATTCTTTTGCTGCAGTGGAAGCTCTACAATTAACAACTTTAAATTTCTCTCCTTTACTGCAAGTCGCGCTGCACTCGGCCGTACTGCTGTCACACTCACACGCATACGAACAAGTGACTGTGTGACCGTCCGCTGCAAGAGCCAAAACGCTGTAAAAATTGGACAAACTACTATCCTGGATTTTCTGACTAAATTAAATACCAATATTTATATTTTTTTTATCAATTAACCTTGTTAGCTGCATTTTGATGTATAGAGATACATTTAGTTAAAATAACAGAGATTTCGAAAACTATTTATACCAGATGTTGAGAAATACATTTGATATATAATGGGGAAATTCGGGATTGCCATTTTGTTGGCTTTTCTTCATTTTTTTTTATTTTTCCTTTAGCAAATAACGTTTTCTTGCAAGTTATTGATATCTATTGTTTAAATTTGTCCCAAAGCCCAACTCAATATTCAAGTGCAGTGTGACCATATATCAAAATCTACTGAAAATCATAAATACTATGCTGTTCTGGATGCGTTCAGCAACGATACTAATAGTAACAACTCGGCGGTAACGTTTATTTGTAGCAATATTCCAGTACGTACTAGAAATACAAATGTTTTTTAATTTATCGCTCGTAATATTTAAAATTAAAAATTATACGGGGAGTCCTCGTCATAAATATCGTGGGTATCTAACGAATTTAAGTTACGCGGCCGTATTAACATACGGGAAGCTTTCACCGAATATTCGTTGTGCCAGTTGCCCCATATAATACGCTGTCCATTTAAATTGGATTGAGCTTCCTGGCAACGATCAAACCACCAGCCAGCACAGTCTTCATTTCGGTCGTAGGCCCTGAAATCCATGCGATTGTGGTAGGTGAGGGCATCGGACGTGGTGCTATTGCCATTCAGTTTACCAATCACCAATTGATAGTTGTAACTTTCGCTGTCCAGCCGAAACAGTTCGTATTCGGCCCACACCGGCAAACCATTCTGATCCTCCAGTTCGATGCGCAGCACATAATCGTCGCGATAGACTATTCGGTGTATAAACTCGTTGCCAAACCAAAAGTTCCCTTTTAAGCTGCCAAAACCGGCTCGATACTCATCCCAGCTACGATTAAAGTTCTCCGCCTGCAGATTGCTCCCCTCATTGCGTTGCTGTATTACCGTCCATGCGGCACCGTCTGTGGCAAAAGCACAATACCGTTCATTGAAATCGCGATGCCTTTCATTTAGTTCCGGCTCCAGAAATTTGTAAACACCATCCACACGCTGCAGCTTATCTAGTTCATAGCAATCCGCTTTTGCGGGCAGCACGTACTCTGAGTATTTTGGCAGGTAAGTAAATGATGTTGTTCTTTTTATTTAATGCGTACACTCACCAACTTTCGATTGTTCATTAAAGTTGCTTTTATTTGTTTCTTCAACCTCTGAGAGTTGCTCCTTTGACATTCCCAATACGTCATCTTTCTTGTGCTTATTACTTTCCCGAGTACTTTGATTGCTTGCCACCAGCACCGCTAGCATCGAGTGCATTTCTTCCAGGCTTCTGGCTTGTTCATCGTTCCATTGAAATTTCTGCTGTACTTTGTTTGCCCTTTGCCAAATTTCATTGCCCTTGGTCTCCCAACGTTCCAGGGCCTTACTCAAATTTCCAGAAATCTCCTCCATAAAGTCAAGTCGCTTTATATGAGTGAAAGAAATCAACTTGCTGAGCGCTTGATTTAGTTTAAATTCCACATTTAACATCATGCGCTGGTGCTTCTCCTGTGTGCGCCTGATCAGCGTCAGTTGATGATCCATGCCCTGGCAAGTGGACATTAGGCTCATTGATTTTGCTGTTCCTGCCGCTAAAACCTGCTGAATCTGTACGGTTGCAATTAGTGCAAGTAGAAAACCCGTGTTAAGCTATAAAGGAGAGATCAAACGGAATATTGTAGCTTAAGTCGTTTGTTAATTGATAATATTGCGCGCTTTACCCGCATCTTGTTGCCTTTTCAAAGCGTGGGATGGAATGAAGCACATGTTGACCAGAAAACACGACAATTAATAGACTAATCGCAACATGTGTTGCAAATTATGGAACAGAAAAAAAAGAACAGCTTGTGATTTATGTTTTTTGGTATTTTTTTTTTATGGTTTTTAATTGTTTTTACGAATATAGAGTTTTTGTATTTGTTTGCTTTTTAATGTCCTTAGTTTTGCATATACACATTTCACTTTTCAATAATTAACGGCTTTTACATGAAGTTTGTGAGTTGAAACAGAAAAAGCAATATACATATTTATATAGAAAATGAAAAAATAGATATTTATATAATAACATTTCGTGAGGATAACACAAACTTATCCATGTATGTATGTGTTTTTGTTTGTGTTTTCAAAGTTAAGTTTATCTTTTAATTTAAATGTTTACGATTAACAACTATTTTTGTTTAAAAGTAGAAATAGAAATTAAAGCGCCTAAATAACTAAATACATGAATCCATTTTACGGGGCGCACTTAATATATATATATTTTTTTATGTATACATATATTTCTTTTAGATATTCATAGTTTCGCCTGTTTAAATTTATTAATAATTATTAAATTGAGGCAGAAAGAATCAGAAGGAATTACTTTTTAAAATTGGCAAAAATTTACAGTTGTTTTGTGGTGCGCGAATACATTTTTTACATCAACATTATCGTGTTTGTTGTTTTTTTCGTTTTTCTTTCTTTTTTGCGATCATACGATCTATAAAACTAGATTAATATATGTATTTAATTTAAAGGTAGCGCACATTTGGCTTAAAGCCGCAAGTGATTTATTTTGTTGCCTAAATTTTAACTTTAAACGATCGTGTGTTTCTGTAAAACTAGGGTAGTATAATTATCTTTATCCATTAGTTTCATACATATATCTCTTAATGATTAGCTCGGTTTCTTTCTATTTACATTGAATATTTCACGTGTTCTTGTGTGTGGGTGTGTGTGGCGTGTTTTGTATTTGTATTACTATTTTTTTTTTAGAACTAAATAACTAAGAAATTGCTTAGAATTAGGCTGCAATGCAAATGTTACGCTCCGAGTTGAGTTTTGATTGATTTCCTTTTGAAGTGAAACTGTTGGTTTAATACAAAACAAAAGAAAACAATATGATTGAAAACAAGTTAAAAAGCGTCTCGCTGATGGCTTTAAAATTTGACAAATTATTTAAAAATTGAAATTTACTTCACATGGTCTTAATAGCTTTGGATTAGTTTGCTGGTTTATACTCGCTACTCGCTGGTTGCCACAATCTGCTAAACACTTGCAGCGTAATACTCGTAGCTAGCTACTCGTATTTCGCTGCGGGCTACTTCCTCCTCCTCACTGCCTTGTCCTCATTAGTTGCTAGGTATTCGCTGCTCGTTACGCTCTGGCTTCTCGCCAGTCGCTGTTTACACACGCTTACGCATGCGCTCGTGGCGCGCGCCAATGCTGCGCTTCCACTCGGGATCATTGGGATCGTCGTCCATAAATGGATCGTCGGCCAGCTCCTCATCGTCGAGTGCCTCATGCTCGCCCAGATAGGCATCGATGCTGGCATTGTACGCATTAGCATTATTCGTGCCCGATGGCAACTGATCATCTGGTGCCGCCAGGTAATGATAATCATCGTCTTCCTCCAGCAGTAGTTCGTTCTCATCCTCATCTGGCTCATAGTCAATACCATCGTCATAGCCATCATCCTGGGCGCCATTAATGTGATGTGCCTCAGGTTTCTTGGCATTTTTGCTGCCATTTAGTGGTGCTGCGGACTGCGCCAACTTGCTGCCAGTTGTGGCTTTGGCCTTGCTGCTGCGTCGGCGGCCAGCGGTTGTCGTTGAGCCATCTCCATTGGAGGAAAGCGATTTGCTCTTGGTACGCTTGGCCGGTGCGGCTGGTATCGCCGGCTCTTTGGGCTCGGCATACATCTCGGCCAGCAGTCGCTGATAGACCTCCTCGGAGAGCGGAAATTGAAGCGGCTCAAATGGTGGCGGATCTTGCGTTTGCTGAAAAAGTTTCAAAGTTAAAACAAGGGTCTGACATAACACACATACACTCACGTCTCTGGTATCTGGCGTTTTGCTGCGACGATCGTGATCCTTTAGCTTACTGGAAGTGGTGCGTCGGCGCTTCGTAATCTCACCATCACCTGAGAGGGCATCCAGTGGGTGCGGCTGCATGGTTTGTGCTAACGGTGAGGGTATGCTCTCGTTATCAGCTGTAGGTCCTGCCAGCTGTGAAGCTGCCGGCGATGTCGGATCGGGCGTATTGGCGCCACTTGACTCGGCGCGACTGTCGATACGTCGATTGGCGCGCGAGCGTGTGCTCCAAGGGAACTTTAAGAATGTTTCGAAACGACGCCGCTCCTCGATGAGCGCACGCTGATGCCGCGCTATGTACGCCTCATCTGAGATGTCCTCCTCCTCTTCCTCATCAATAACGTCAGCGACGCAGGCCGCTGCTGCAGCCTGCTTTCGCTTGTCCTGCGACTTCTCGGGGGTTGTTTGCGCTAGCTGCAGCTTTGGCCGCTTGGTAGGCGGCTCCACAACTTCCGCATTGGATTTGTCTTTTTCAACTGGAGCGGTTGCATCCTTGCCAGCAGCTGGAACTGTTGCATCCTTACTAGTTTCTGGAGATGCGTTGGCCTTCCCAGCAGCAGGTGCAGGCGGGGCAGCAGTCTTGGCAGCAGGCTTGCTTGCTTTATTTACATTATTCACAGGGACTTTGTTATTGTGCTTTTTGGTTTTGCCATTGACAGGCAGCTGCTTCGCCGGCAGCTGTTGCTGCTCCTTTAACTTAACTGACGCCTGCTCTTCTTTGCCATTGATCCGCCCATTACTAATTGCATGCTGTGCCTTCTGCTTGACGGACTCTGCCAGTTGCTTCTTCTTCTTGCTCGACCGTTTGATGCCATTAAGCTTGGACGCGGGCTTGGTCGGCGCCTCCTTGTGAGTGTTGTTATTTAGCTGAGGCGCTTTTGCTTTTGTTGCTTCAGCTGCTGGTGCAGTTGCTGCTGCGGTTGCAGGTGCAGTTTCTGCTACGGATGCGGTTGTAGTTGGTGCTGCGGTTGCTGGTGGAGTTTCTGCTTCGGTTGCGGGTGTAGTTGCTACTGCGGTTGCAGGTGCAGTTGCTGCTACGGTTGCGGGTGTAGTTGCTGTTCCTGCTGCTTCTGGCCTCTCCTGCTC